AAGAATTATCTATAATGTAGTCATTCACTGTGACTGTATACAGCTGAGGCTTCTAGATACAGCACTTTTTTAAAAAAAATAGGGTAAAAATATTTCACTTGGAATGAAAACTAGATGCTGGGAAGTAGTCATATCTGGATGCCTTTTAAGATTCAGTGACATTAGAATATAAGGAGATATTCTAATAGATAATCAGGTTTCAAAAACCTGTTCAGCCTAACTATCCACTTTATTATGCACATACAAAGGAGTTGCAAGAAGAAACTATGTCATCTTAACTTTCTTTGGGAAACGGCAGTAAAAAAAGGCATAGTAAATAACTTCAGAAACACACATGGCTGAAAATGTCTTGGATTACTGCCCAAGGTAAAATGCAAGCTAAAATAATAATAACTTGATATACTTCAGTTTAATTAATTGGTAATGATGGCCAACCTGGGGGCTTGATGGAATCTGTAAATTAACTTAATATCAAATGTTTCAACAAAATGATATAGTAAGAGCAACAAAAATGTGTAACACACTATAAAGGAAATGAATTCCAGATTTGTATTACGTATTACTCTAGATATTTCTAGTTAAAATACTCATTTTATAAGCATTTTGAAAATAGAAGGGAGTGAATCATACTTCTGCTGAACAATTATGTAATCTAAAAGGGAGCAGACTTAATTTCAGTTGGATAATGTTCTTTTCCACTTGGATCTCAAATACCCTTTATACTTTTCATCAGATGTACCAGTCAAGCAAACATTTCAGACTGTATTGTTTGCGTAGCTTATGTGCAAAAAGCTGCATAAATATTTTTAACTCTCAGAATACTATGGTCACACCATCTTTCATTTTATTGCATTTTGTAAAATTATGCAGAATAGCAGAAAAAGGGAAAGAAACCATAAGTAAAAGCATGCAATAAGAAAAGGGAAATATGCCTAAACCAACATCATTTGCTACATCTGTCCATCCATTTCTATTTTTGCAAATCAATCTTGATTCCACCACATTCAAATATGCTTCATACATTGCTTTTGTTCTTTACATTTATTACTGTCTGTTTCTGGAGTTCATCAGCCTCATCCAACCAAATGTTCTTGGTCTTCCCCTCTTTTAGAACCATACATACTTCTAGGTATTTGTTTTGTGATTTATCTTTTGACATAAGTTTCAGATCTACACTGCTTATTACATCATAAAACCACCAAAATATCACTGCAGATCCTCCAGATTCTAGCCAACAATACAGAATTGTCTACTTACAAAATACTTACACATCCACATTTCCAACCAACACACTTATAATGTCATTTTACAAATTAAACATTTATTAATAAGTACATTAACTTATCAAGGGTACATCTTACATCTCTGTCTTAATCTCTGCTCAATGTTTAACCATTGTTAAGCATTCTATTTATTCTCATGTATACTTTACTTCCATATATTACTCTTACTACATTCAGCAGTTCAGCTACTACTACTACTACTACTACTACTACTACTACTACTACTACTACTAATAATAATAATAATAATAATAATAATAATAATAATAATAATAATAATAATAATAAAGTTGGAAGGGACCTTGGAGGTCATCTAGTCCAACCCCCTGCTCAGGCAGGAAACCCTATACCATTTCGGACAAATGGCTGTCCAGTTTCTTCTTAAAAACTTCCACTGTTGGAGCATTCACCGCTTCTGGAGGCAGGTTGTTCCACTGGTTAATTGTTCTAACTGTCAGGAAGTTTCTCCTTAGTTCTAGGTTGCTTCTCTCTTTGGTTAGTTTCCACCCGTTGCTTCTTGTCCTGCCTTCAGGCGCTTTGGAAAATAGCTGGACTCCCTCTTCTTTGTGGCAGCCCCTGAGATATTGGAACACTGCTATCATGTCCCCCCTCATCCTTCTCTTCGTTAAACTAGACATACCCAATTCCAGCAGCTGTTCCTTATATGTTTTAGCCTCCAGTCCCCTAATCATCTTATTGCATTCAATTCCATATTTGCACCAAATACTCAATAATTAAAAAATTATGAAATCCATTTTATCCTACACCTTCTCTAACACAACAAATACACAATAAAATTCCTTTTTCACATTCATTTAGTGATTTGATAAATAGGATAATTCAGTCTGCACATACCCTGCCAGACATAAAATCAACCTGTACCTCCCAAATTTTGTTATTACCTTTCAATCAGTATTCTGCTAAATACAGGCACATTTCACAAATAACAGTATTTTTTACTCTTTTTACATCATTTCTCCTATCATGAGGCATAGTGTAGTCCTCACACAGATACTGCATAACAAAACACTTCCATATTTTAACATTTATCAAGTTACATCATTTATACCTGCTGCCATACTGTACTCTTCTAGACTAGATTCAAGATCAGAATCTGTACTCTAATATGTATCCATTCTTGTATATTCTCCTTCTTGGAGTGATTCTGCTATTATTTTAATTTATTTTATTCTTTCCATTTCTTTCATGGCCATTCCTACAAAATCCATTTTTGCTATTATAAAATAATGCTTTTATAACCTTTAATTGTATTAATATCCTTCATTAATTCTCTCAATTTTTCACCATAAACAGTCAACACAATCATGCTTTTAGAACTGTACAAGTAGTCTGGAGTTTAAGAACAAGGTCTATTCTTAAGTTTGAATTTGTATGTAAGCCAGAACAATATAATTGTATAATACTGAAAAGTAGTATTGTGTGATGAACTTGAATCACTGTGTATTTAAGTTGAATCTTTGTGTATTTAATTTGAATTTTGCTACAATAGCCTCCATTCTTAACTATGGGTTGTCCTTAAATTATTAACCCATGGACTTGTTGTATTTATTTTGTTGTCTTATATGAACAACAGATATGCTTAAGCCACACATTTGAAACAAACTGATATTTTTCTAATTAGATACTGTAACTCACCAGTCACCCTTCTAATTTATTCTCGGGCTTCTAAAAGACCCAATTACTTTTTCTTTATTCACTTCGTTCTCACCATTCTTTCATGTCATTTAACAGAATTCTTCTTCCCCTACCACAATCCTTCAGAACATTATACAATTCCTGTCAAAAATACTCTGCTTCTTCCATTTTTACTATTCTTTGGAACAAATATGCAACTAATGTTAATTTAAGGATTGCTATTTTCATTTGCACCCACAATAAATTAGGTAACACAAACCACATTTTTGAGCTGTGAAGTAATTGGTGCCAAAGGTTTTAAAGAAAGAAAAGGAAATCTGCTGATATTGCCTTTTTCTCTTTTTGTTCAGCAGAAATATTACAAACAGAACTATACTTGGAAATGAAATGGAGTCATGACATAAGTTTTCTGAATCCAGTTCCAAGATTCTACCTAGAGAGATCATTGCCTGCTTTAATGGTACCAAATTAAAGCACAGTTTAAGTATAAGGTTATGAAATCTTTAAACAACTGATTTTCAAAAATGAACACTCTGGACATTTGAATTAATTCTCATAGCACTCAAGGAAGCTAATAGGGTTCACCAAGAATAGACTGTTGAAATCCTCAGCTATGGACTGATTAGAAAACCAATACTGATGATTACAGTTGAGATTTTAGAATATATATCTAAGTGGTGACTAAGAACTGACAACATGATGTCACATAATCAATCATTTTCAATACTTGGAAAGACTTGACAATTTTGATCAACTTGGTGCTTTCCAAATGAATTGGATCACTCTTATAACCTTCACACTGCTTCCAGTAGTAGCTGAGGATAATGAAAATTAAGGGAATTACAATTCAATCCATTTTTCAAGACACCAGTCTGGGGAAGGCTGATTCAGAACTTACCGGATAATAGATGTATTAAATGTGCGCTAAAAAGTTTTAACTATGTTTATTTTTAAATAAAGGGCAGCCCATTGGTAACGGCAGGACCGTGAGCGAGAAAGAGCTTGCTGCTTATCTTTTCTGCTACCCCTTGGAAGTAGAAGTCCTGATCAGGAGTGGCATGTCCTCCCCCATATACTTTTTGCTGCAGGTTCTGTCATTTCTGACTACTTCTTAAAAGTAAAGAGGCAGGCCAGAGAAAACAGCCGCTGCTCTTCATCTCCTCCCTGGCTCACCCCCTCCCAATACTATAAAGCAGAACATGCTTCAAATGCTGCCTTGAGAGCCTGTGCAGCAGAGCCAGCCTCTACGGACAGAGAGATAAGGAAGCCGGAGAGAACTAGCTCTCCCCGTTCCCTTCATTCCTTCCCCCATTTTCCCAAGCAACCTACACAAGCCCGCTTGCCCTCATGCCACCTGCCCTCCAAGGCGGGAGGTGATGTCACAGTACGCCTATTAGAAGGCCTATTGCTGTCAGCCACATTTGCACCCACATTTGCACAGGAGCGGGTCTAACTCGCTCCAGTGGGTCGGAATCTCTCGGGAATCTCCTTAGTAATCAACTGAACACGCGAGCCCTGTGGGCGCAGCCTTCTGCCTCGCTTTTCCCAGGGTGTTCTGAGCAGGGAACATTCGCTCCATTGACGCCGATGGGACATCTTTCTGCCTCCGCTCCGCATACATTATTATAAATAACCGGTGGCAAAAGGCCAGCAACCGTACTCCATCTCCCAGGGTGCAATGCGTGCGTAGGTTTACGCTGTTCCACCAAAGGCTGAGTTGAGCGTGCGCGCGATTCTCCCTTCCTCGAGTGCCCTTCAGAGTTGCTGCTATAGTTTTTTGCGGGCGGCTGTGCCCGAGAGCCGACCTTAGCCCTACTTTAGTTTTCGTGGGCTGCGTCCGCTGCCTCGCTTTCCCTCTGCGCTGTCAAAGCAGGAACTAGCCAGGGCCCTTTGCCGGCTGTCCCGTTTCTGATGTCTCTCGAAAGTAAAGAAGTTGCACCGCAGCTCTTCCAACTTGTAGAAACGGTGGTGGTCTTACCACTTTAGCTGCGGTTTGCCTCCCGGGCAAACAGGAACGAGAGTGATCACCTTTTTCGGCCTGGCCAGGAGAAGTATTGCCCACTGTATAATACTGGAAATAGGTGGGTGTAAAGAAGCCTATAAGTCCTCTTCCTCTGTAAGGTAGGATTTTATAAGAACCTGTTTAGTTTATTTAGATTAGTCCAAGTAAGCATGTCATATGTGAGACATATTTAATAGGCTAAGCGTATCTCTGCATCCAAAGCAAAAAAATTATGTAAAACAGAAATTTATGTAACAGCCGTGTGAATGCAGTTGATTTTATTTCAATCAATAAACATCCCCATGGAAAAATGGGGCAATCCCCCATGTGAATATGCAGCGTGCAATGAATGCAGGGGATGCCTACTATATTTGGAGACCCATGACAAGATCAAAAAGTAAATTAAATTTGAACATTCAAACACTCCTTCAAATTTTGCAGTTAAATTCAGGATTATGAAGTTCCTCACTGGTGGCAGTTGATTAATTGTTGCTCCTGTTGGCCTTCACAGTACAGTAACAGTGGGGAAAGCACATGCCTGAAGGTTGAATTCTGTGCCAAAAAAAAGTCACCACTTAAAAATAATAGTAATAGGTTTCAAAGAAATGACTTGGTATTGTACATTAAATTGAACTTTGTATAATTAGGCAGAATTGGAAACAAGTTTCCTATGACACAACCCAAAAAATGTATACCACCATAGAGTTATTTCTGTTTTTGTAAATGTATGTATCTCAGAGTAATATTCATGTGATATGTAATATTTTATTATAAAGGGGTCACAAACTTGGAGATGAGACCCAATCTTTTTACACCATGTGAGTTCTGATAAATTCACTTGGCTTGCTGCAGAGGACTAAACCATAAATTTCATTTAACACTGTGAGAAATTAACATGATGATAGACCACTGAACACTCTGAACTTTTAAAATAAATGATAGACCATAAATACTTGGAAACTGATAGTACAGATTGATGGATGGATGGAGGCATCTATTGACATGACATCAGTCATGTTTTGTCATTTCTGGGGGGTATTATTTATTTATGTATTTAATTTAATTTAATTTAATTTAATTTTTCCTCCCCTTACTATTTTTCTAAATAACTCAAAGCAGCGAACCTACCTAATAGTCAGTCCTTCTATTTTCCCCACAACAACAACTCTGTGAGATGAGTTGGGCTGATAGCATGACTGGCCCAAAGCCGGGACTGGTCTCCTGATTTCTAGCCTGCCTTACCTACTAAACCAATCTGGGGTTTTGAGTCTGAATCTCAAGAAAGTGGATAAAGTTCTCTGTGATTTCAGTTCTGCATCTGTGGATTGGACGGCCTGCCTCACTTGGCTTGTGAAAGCTGCTGGGAGAGGACTGGAAGCTGGACCCAGGCTATAGTCAATACTTCTTTGGGAGAAGATCTCACCAGCCCTGAAAAGCTGATATGATTCATCCCTCAACAGGTCGAGAATCTGAATAAGTTACAAGGCTAGATGATAGAGAATTGTGGATTAAATTTGTGCGCAAATGGTTTTATGAGTTTGTATTAAGGATCACTACCCAGAGACCAGTAAAAATATGTGCAATCCAAAGACTGAATAACTCAACTATTTTATTTTTGATTGCCACTAAGATAGATAGATAGATAGATAGATAGATAGATAGATAGATAGATAGATAGATAGATAGATAGATAGATAGATAGATAGATAATAGAGGGAAAGAGAGAGAGAGTGTGTGTGTGTCTTGGCATATTCTGGTCTTTTCCCGTGTAAGATTGAGAGTATCTTGGCGACGTTTCAATGAGGTCCCACTCGTCATCTTCAGGCTGGGGTCTTCGGCTTCGTGCTTGTGCGAGCAAAGTGTGATTGGAGCTGCCATCTCTCTATAAATATTGGTGGGGGTGTGTGTAGTGCTGGCTTAGTTGCTGTAGGTGGGTTGGTTGGCTGTGTGGGAGTTATTGTTTGCGGATTGTTCAGCTGTTTCGTAACATCCTGAGTAGTTGAGATGCTGGCTGTGTGTCCATTAGTCTTTTGTGTTATAATGACCTGGGTAATGGGTTGTGTGATTACATCCTGAGATCTAGTGTAGTGATATCCTGAGTTTTGTGTTGCAACATCCTTGGTGGTTGGCTGTGTTGTAACATCCTGAGCTTTAGCGTTGTAACCTCCTGAGTTCTGTGATGTCCAGAGCAGAAGGCTGTGATGTAGCATACCGGGCTTTGGTTTGGCTCCGAGTTTGTGGTCTACCTCTGTGTTCATGGCGTGTGTCCATTTGCTTTGTGTGGGGGTCGGAGGGAGGTGCAGCAGCTGGTGATGTCGTCATGGTTTGGCTTCTGGATGGTGGTTGCATTTCGTCTGAGGGATAGGTTTGGGCTTGGGTTTGGATCTGGTGAGGGTGAATGGTGGTGGCGTACTCTGTTGTTCTGGGTCCGGTGTCAGTTTTCGTGGCTAGGACCCGTTTGTTGATTAGGGCTAGTTTCCAGATGTCTGGTAGGCGGGAGGTATCGTCACGTTTATTCATGTTGTGGGGGTGTTTTTCTATTTCGATGGCTTCCATAATTATTCTCTTGTTGTGGTGTTCAGTTTTGGAGATTAGTTTGGTTCCTTCAAAATCAATTTCATGTCCTGTAGCTTTAAGGTGCTAGAAGAGGGAGGAAGTTTTTTCTTCTTTTCTGACTGTGTTCTTGTGTTCTGCGATGCGGGCATTTATTCTCCTATTAGTTTGTCCAATGTATGTGGCTGGGTAGATTTTGCATGGTATTTCATAGATTTCTTGGTTTTCTAGCTGGATCCTGTCTTTGGGGTTTCTTAAGATGTTGGCTATTTTTTGGTCGGTGCCGAAGGCTGTCTTGATATTGTGTTTGTGGGGAAGTTTGCTGATTTTATCTGTGGTGCCTTTGATGTAGGGGAGGAGGGCGATGTCGTTGTACTGTTCTATGTCTCGGTTCTTGGGGGGTGTTTCCTTTTGGATTAGGTTGGTAATTGTATTTCTTTGGAATCCGTTGGAGATTAATACGTTTGTGAGAGTGTGTAATTCAGTTTTCAGGTATCTTTGTCGGCTAGGCGTTTGGTTCTGGAGATGAGGGTCTTGGCTACAGAGTTGATCTGTGCAGGGTGGTGGTGGGATTGTGCGTTTAAGTAGCGGTTGGTGTGTGTTTTTTTCCGGTAGATGGTCTGTCCTAGGGAGTCATTGGGTTTTTTGTAGATTAGGACGTCCAGAAAGGGGAGTTGGTTGTTACCTTCTATTTCCATCGTGAATTGTATTTTGGAGTGTAGGCTGTTGAGATGTGTGAGGAAGTTGTCCAGTTTTTCTTTCCCATGTGGCCAAATTACAAAAGTGTCATCTACATATCTGAGCCAGAGTTTGGGTTTGTGTTCAGATTTGTCTAAGGCGTTGATTTCGTAGAGTCACTTCCTGTTACCAAATAGCACTGAACAGAAGTTCAGTTGTCCCTCTCCCATGTTCTCTGACACCCAACAGACCCTATCAGCAATGGTGAAGATATTCAATCTGAACAATAAGGAGACAACATACGTAGCAGATTATCTGGTTGTTTCACTTAATTACACAATGCCATTTCCTTCAGCATGTTTTGACTGTAAGGCCATTGTGGAGATGTGACTCCAATTGTGTGCATGTTTCTACTTGCCTATGTGTGGTAAGAAAGGGTGCATCTATAAGTGTAGAAAGATATAAGAATTGTCTTTTTGCATGTACATATAGAAAATCAACAGCGATTAAATACTTTCCAGATGTTTGATCTCATTACCATGGTGTATATTATTATTAAAAAGTATATTGTGACTAGTCTTTCCACATATCTTCATGTTCTGCCACAATAATTTATTGAGTTTCCCACTCCACAAGCATATGGATATTTTTTTCATGAATTAGTAATGTTTTTATTCAAAATAGAACTCTCTGTGTATAGGTTCAGAGACTTTCACTCAATTGTGGTTTTGTGGGGGGAGGGAATTTAACCCCAAGCAAAAGGTATTAATTATGGAAACCCATCACATTTGGAGAAAACCAGGTCAAAGAAGCTTTTCAGTGATCTATGAGCCATTAATTTTACATTCTCAGAAAACCTTTGTTTATTGAGATACCAGGGCAGCATTCATAGCTACCAGAGAGTATGGATGGGGAAGAGAGAAAATTCAGTTTACCAAGCAAAGCAGCTTATGCAACGGTTAACATATATAGGGAAGAGACAAGGAAAAGAATCAGCATACAGCTTTACCAGATGTGTTTAATTTTGTTACAGATGCTTGATGCCTAGCTTCCAGTGTTTTTATCATTTGAGTTTATATTCCACTTCTTTATCCATAGGGCATTCAATTCCTCTCTTTCATTAAATTAATGAAAATACCTAAAATAGTTAGGGGCAAATGCCTTTGTACTCAGTATTCAAAAATATGTCCTTATTTTAATAAGTCATAATTAACATGCAGAAATAAAGTCAGGGAGATTTTATTACATGAGGCTGGGTAGTAGGGGGTAGGAAATCACTGAAAGCAGAGAGAAACACTCCTTCAAATAACAATATTTTCTCTTCCAACCATTATTTTTTCTTACAGAACTGGTGGAAGACAACTTTCATAGGAGGAGGCATTGATGAAGGGAAGACCAAGCAAGTGAAAGCAAAATGTGGATGTCGCTTGCCAAAAACGTGTTAAGGACAAAACTCTACGAAGACTTTTCTCGAGTTTTGTTACGAACACCAAAGGGCAAGCCGAGTTATCAAAAGAATTTTTCATTGAGTAGGAAGCCTTGGCTACATTCAGCAAGGGTAGTAGCACAGGCAATTCAGACCCTCAATATTGGCACAACTATCCAGAAAGTAGAAACTTTAGAGAAAAAACAGTTTATCTGTGTTCATTGGGAAGATGGCAGTGAGAGCCTTTACCCATCGGTGTGGCTACGAGACAATTGCCAGTGCCCAGACTGTTTCCTACACTCTGCTAAAGCACGCAAACTGCTTCTGGAAAATCTAGATATCAATATCAACGTGAAGGATGTCACTCTGACAGAACAGAAAAAGGTAAAAAGAGTTTTATGTGTATGTGCAGTTGTAATAAAATGAATACAACCATTGTAATAAAGCCATAAAACAAAATCATGTGACTTAAGGTGTTTTGGCCAAAACAGACAACACTTCCTCTGATTTGGATATTAGATTTCTGTTGATGCACCCCTGCAATCTACCTTTCTGCAACCCACATCATATTGCTGGCCAATATTTTCTGCAGTCTACTGCTGTTCCAAAATCTTTTTAACAAGTGTTTTACCAAGCCAGTTATCTCTCATCTTGCAACCTTGTTGCTGTGTGCCTGTTAAATTTTGTTATTTGCAAAGATACGAGACGTTCACTTGCATGGAATTCACTTGGCCTTGCATTCTTTGCAAAGGCCAAGTGAACTCCATGAAACAATTTTGAATGAAGTGCATTCAGACTGTGCTACACACAATACAAATGCATGCCTTTCAATGTTTGTTTCTATTTCATGGAAGAAGGTAAATATTGTATGGCCAGATGACCACACCAGTGAATTTGAGGCCGAATGGTTGAAGAAGAGATGTTTTTCTGACCGAGCTAGAGCAAAAGCACAAGAAGAATTATTTTTATCAGGTAAGAATGTATGTTGTTGGGCTAACGCAGTGGTGGCAAACCTATGGCACGCATGCCAGAGGCGGCACTCAGAGCCCTCTCTGTGGGCACACGTGCCGTCACCCCAGCCCTGCCTCTCCCCGCAGCCCCCTCATCAGTAGCCCCCTGGGAGGAGGGTCACGCCCGGGCGCAGAGCAGCGCAGCCAAGCACATGGCAGCTGGGCAGCAGGGACAAGATTCCGCTCTTGTGTCTCGTCACGTGCAGATGATGCTGTGGGGCACGGATGGAGGGCGTGTCCACCATGGCGCTGCAGGGCCGCCTGAGCGATCTGCGGCAGGCCGTGGAGGTGGGTGGCCTGGCAGGTGGGGCGGAGTGGGGGTGGGAGTGGAGCGGGCAGGGTGGAGCGACAGAGGCAGGGCGGGTTTTGGGCACTCGGTCTCTAAAAGGTTCGCCATCACTGTGCTAATGTATTAAGTCAAGAGTCTCAAACATGATCCATAGGCCACATGCAGTTCTCCATGTCATTTTCTGTGACCTACAACAATACTTTGTAGGCACTGAGGTTCCTATCTAGGAAGGCCCTGGTGCCAGACACTACATGGAAGCACAGTCTAGGTTGTGATGTGTGTTCTTACAATTCTTCCAGTTTTAACTCAGCAGGTTTGAGTTCACTGGACTGTGCAATTGGCACTTCAAAGTCTATCAGGCCAGGCAGCGCTACCCTATGAGAATCCTTTACCATGTCAGGCCCTACTTCTGAAGCAGCTGTAAGAAGACAGTCAGAAATGAGGCTTGGTTAGGGAAGATGGGCCAGGAGGTTGCCTAAGGGAAGGAAGGAGGAGGCAGCTGAGAAGGACTAGATCTCACTGCCACACTGTAGGGGTTTCTCTGCCAGAGGAGGATCGGAAAGACATCAAGTAAACAAGATTTTGCTATTATGCAAAGGAAAGAAGGATTCTGCTGGGCCAGGAAAGAAAAGAAAATGAGAAGCAGGCAAAAAGAACAAAATATCTTTCCACTCAGGAAGGAAAGAGAATGAAAACAGTATTTGGCAGTTCTTAATGGAATAGATCGTAGACGATATAATCTTAAAGCAATAAATACATTACTTACAAACTGAGTAATAAAAACCAATTTTGATTTTATGGTCAATGAAAAATACTGCTACCTAGATGGTCACCAAGTGCAATGCTCTATTTCTCAAATAGTTCTGATTTGCAGTATTTTTTTTTATTAAACGCATTTATATTTAATTGCATACTGTGATTCTACTCATTATATTCATTTTTGACTCACTACAAACTTTTGCATCAGTTTATGAAAAGGCTTTAGAGTTGCAGCCATTGGGCAATGATAACAGTGGCACTCATGATTATTTGAATTGGAGAGCTCTGTACTATAGTGCAGAATTACGGGTATGCCAGTACGCCATTATTATTTTTCTATTTGTATTTATATTGCTTTTTGTTAAAACTGGCACTAACACTTGCCTTTTAAGAACCAAATAAATTTCTGTACTGTACAGAGTAGCTTGAAAGTAGCTTGCTAGCTGGATTAGATAGACCCATCCTATCATTTGCTACTATATTTTCTTGGTGACCATTTCTGGGCAGGGCATATTTTAGCAGAAATGAGAAAAATGTGCTTTTTGTAGCCAGCAGTTAACTGTATGGGTTTGCAGCAAAGATCTGAAATTCAGTTTTATATGTAGAGTGTTTCCTTTTTCTCCTGTACCATATACTGTGGATAATGAATAGAAAGCTAAACATTTGAGGGTATTTTCAATGGAATCAGCTATTTCTCCCAATAATACATCCAATCATATATCTTCTTGATTGCAACAAAATCAATAAAATCATCCTACGAATAGCTGCTTTCTGAACAATTTGTTCTCGGATCTAATTCAGATTGCTGGTAAAAACTTTATACTACTTGAGTTCAAGGTACAGGAGTGAAGCCTTCATTTATATAACTTCTTCCTTCTCAGAAAGATGTGTTGCAGAGATTGTGTACATATATTGTGGGCATACAATTCTATATAAATATGTACAGTTATAAAGCATTATCCTCCAGTTAATAAACAGGTTATGTTGTTACTTGAGGATAGTTCTGCATTCTTATTTTGCTGAGCATGCAAAAGAAGAGGGGGAGAGAAATGAAAGGGAATATGAAATACAGGAGCTGTTTTGTTCCTTAGCTAGAGATTTTTGCAATTCAGAAACCCAGCTCTTCCCTTGAGAGCAGTAAAAAAAAAAACATAAATGCCTTAATTGAATAATATAAATGGTCTCTGTTAACCTGTCCATTAACATAATGTTTTTATACCAAATTCCAGGAAAGGAAATGGCTTCATAGAATGAATTGATTTATGGAATTTTCCTTAGATTTTTTTTTGTGTCTAACAGAGGCTTGAATTATTTAGTTCATCATATGATGGAGAGAGTTACCCTCCCTTGGTCACTAGAGAGCAATGGGGTCTTTCCCTTCTATCCCACTGCATTTAGTTTCATGAACTAATAGAAACATGAAAGGAACACATATTTTCACTTGCTTTAATTTTTATATCATATATTATGAAATCAGGCAACTAAATGCTGTACACCAATTTAAATAGTACAGTTTGTAAACCAACATACAATCATTTCATAATATATAATATTGTAAATAAAGTTTTCTGCAGGATCCAATCTGGGCCGGTCACCAGACCAGAGGTTTTTTCTTCCATGCTTTGGGACTCGTGGTGGAGCCCTTCTTCAGGGAACTTCTGTCTAGCAGCCAGCCTTCCTGCAACATTATCCTGGGACACATATATTTTTATTTATTTTTATTCTTTATAAAGTTTTCCAACTATAATCAAGGGTTTATCACTTAGACAAAATTAAGCATAAACTAAGAGCATAATTAAGCATAAATCAATACAAGTAGTCCAGTGGTGGGATTCAACTACTTGAACAACCGGTTCTCTATGTGGATGCAGGCCTGGGCCTCCGAGTCCTAGAACAGACTTCCGGAAGTGGCATCCATGCACTTCCGGTGGGCCATTCTAGGCCTGAGAGTCCTCCTCCAGGCCTCCAAAGCCTAGAACAGACTTCCGGAAGCAATGTGTATTCAGCCGGTTCTCCAAACTCAACAAAATTTAGCTACCGGTTCTGCTGAACTGGTGCAAACCGGCTGAATCCTAGATAGTCCTAGATTTACAACCAGTCACTTAGTGACCGTTCATAGTTAAGATAAACTCTCCAAAAGGTACTTACACTGTAATACCCCACCGTCATGTGATTGCATTTTGGGTGCTTGGCAATCAAGCCTGCATTTACAGCCATTTGCAATGTCCTGCACTTATGTGAGTACAATTTATCACTTTTTTTTTTTGCTGGAAACTTGTGTTTATTTCTGGTGTTTGGCAAAAAAAAAGAGTCCATTGTGGACAATGGATTTACTTAATGACTATGGACTTTCTTAATGACAACTACAAAAAAATGTAAAATTGGGTTGGTCACAGGATGACCTGCTTAATGCCCAGCATGATTTAAAAACCATAGTTCCGGGCTCAATTATGGTCATAATATGACTATATGTAGCGGGAATTCAGGAAGTCACAAGTATTAATGAAATATAATTAGACTCTATTATAGCCTTATATTTGCATGCCAGATCTCTAATATAAGTCATCCAGAGTCTTATAGGGGCTGTATATAAGTCCTGGTGAAGAAAAGTTATATAAATAAAATGCTGATGATCACAAATTATTTGTCCCTTGATACTTCTCATTCTCACATCAATAATCTAGTAGATGGGAAAGGCTTTTAGAAAATGTCTATAGGATCTGGCCTTAAGTAGAATAGAATAGAAGAATAATATCTTTATTGTCACTTTGAATGTACACTAATTGGCATACATTAAAATGAAATTTCGTTGCATACAGCTCTCAAAGGGTCACCACCTCCAATATACACTACATAAATATGACAAAAATAAATAAATATAGAATTATGCATATATCCAGGGCTTTTTTTCTCATAGAACGCCCAGAACGGAGTTCCGGCACCTTTTTTGGATGGAACCTTATAGGGTAGGCAAGGCGGGTTGTATGACGTGTGTGAGTTCCAGCACCTTTTTTTTTTTAAAGAAAAAAAGCACTGCATATATCCACATATATTATATGACACAGAGAAACAACTGTGTAATTCAAGTTATGTATAAATGTGAGAAAATGGCGAGAAAAATGAATCTTGCGAGTTTACCAGACAGATGGCATAGGGAGCAAGGCTATTACAGAACCAAGTAGTCCTGCTAGAAACCTCTTCCCAGAGGGGAGTAACAGNTTCGGGAGGCCACGGCAGGCGTTCGGGAGGCCGCGGCGGCCTCCAGACCGCACCGCAGCTTTAGAGCAGCTTTTTCAACATTACTGATTTTTTATTTATTTAGAATATTTTTTTCCTTGTTTTCTTCCTCTAAAAACTATGTGCGTCTTATGGTCAGGTGCGTCTTATGGTGCGAAAAATACGGTAATTGCATACTGTGATTCTACTCATTATATTCATTTTTGACTCACTACAAACTTTTGCATCAGTTTATGAAAAGGCTTTAGAGTTGCAGCCATTGGGCTAATGATAACAATGGCACTCAATGATTATTTGAATTGGAGAGCTCTGTACTATCGTGCAGAATTACGGGTATGCCAGTACGCCATTATTATTTTTCTATTTGTATTTATATTGCTTTTTGTTAAAACTGGCACTAACACTTGCCTTTTAAGAACCAAATAAATTTCTGTACTGTACAAAGTAGCTTGAAAGTATCTTGCTAGCTGGATTAGATAGACCCATCCTATCACTTGCTACTATATTTTCTTGGTGACCATTTCTGGGCAGGGCATATTTTAGCAGAAATGAGAAAAATGTGCTCTTTGTAGCCAGCAGTTAACTGTATGGGTTTGCAGCAAAGATCTGAAACTCAGTTTTACATGTAGACTTTTTCCTTGTTCTCCTGTACCACATACTGTGGATAATGAATAGAA